GGCCAAATGATAGAGTCATATAATAGTAGAATTGGAAGGAGCAATGTAGGCCATCGGGTCCAACCCCAGGACACTAATTTGCAACATCCCACCATCCCACTCAGATGACTGTCTAATTTCATCTTGAATATTTCTGGTGTAAGACAACCCACAACCTCTCTGGGCAACTGATTCCAGTGCTGTATTGTTCCAACAGTGAGGAAACTTTTTGTGATATCTAACCTCATTCTGGGTTGTCACAACTTGACTTGATTATTCTATTTCCTATACTCTGGTATCAGTGATAAGAGATCTTGACCTCCTCCTTTGTGACAGCCTTTCAGATACTTATAGGATGATATCATGCCCCCCCCCCCTTAGTCTTCTCTTCTCAAGGCAGAACATGCCCAGTTCTCTCAGTCACTCCTCATAGGGCAGTGTTTCCAAACCCTGGATCATTTTCATAGCCTCCTCTGGATCCTTTCTATTTCCTCTGCATTTTTCTTAAATATTGGTGCCCAGAACTGGACACAGTATTCCAGTTGAGGTTTGACTAGTGAAGAGTATAGGGGGACTACTACTTTTCATGATTTGGAAGTAATACTTCTGTCAATGCATCCCAAAATAGCAATTGCCCTTTTTGTGGCTACGTCACATTGTTGGCTCATATTGAGCCTTCACAATAACTCTAAGGTCTTTTTTTTTTCGTTCTGTTGAGCCACATATTCCCCATCTTGTAACAATGCATTTGGTTTCTTTTTCCTAGGTGGAAGACTTTGCACTTGTCCTTACTGAATCTCAATATGTTGCTTTCAATCCAGCATTCAGGTTTATCAAGATCACCCTGGATCTTCACTCTGTCTGGGTATTAGCTATTCCACCCAGTTTTGTGTCATCTGTAAATCTGATTATCTTTCCTTGTACTTCCTCATCAGATCATTGCTAAAGATGTTGAAGAGCACTGGGCCTAAGACTGAACTCTGTGGCACCCCACTAATTATATCCATCCAGTTTGAGAATACGCCATTCATGAGCACTCTTTGTGTCCAGTTTAGCAGTCAGTTTTGGATACACCTCATAGTTTTCTACCTAGTTCATTTTTTGCTAATTTGCTTATCAGAATGTCATGAGGCACTATGTTGAAAGCTTTTGGGGTGTCCATTTCCCTGTTTAGTTTTTGAAATAGGGAGACAATATGAAAAGCATGGAGGAGGAAGATGGTATTGTAGTGAAATATTTATTTATTTAATAAGAAAACTGTAGATTGGCTGGAAGCATTGCAGACATGCAAATTCATTTTGGAAGTGTAAGGCAGAACTTGCCTCATAACTGGTAAGAAAAAGCCTGTTGTAGTCAATAGGCAAAAATAGATAAAGGATGGAGATACTGTTTGTGGGGGCTGTTGGGATTCCTGGTAAGGCTGGGAGAATGGTTACACTGTACAGGTAACTACAGGGTTGTCTAATGGACAAAATCAGGCCAAACTCTGCATGCTGGGGAAATCTGCCACCTCACATGGTCTAGAGGCCATCAGAAAATAAGAACAGGCTCCTTTTGTATTGTTACTGCTAAGACAACAGAGACAAGAAATGCCAATATCTGTGAAATGGAATACAGGTGCACAACAACAAAACACATAGTTAGCTGTGGAATGCTAGGAGTTTTGAGGAATGTGTTGGTCTAGATATGCTCTTAGCATATTTTGGTTCCCCAGTAATTTGCTTCCTCTCTCAGGTTAGCATCACTGTGCTGTGTTCTCAGCATATGAGGAGAAAACTCAAGGAGCAGGATTCAGTCTAAACTAGTTGATTCCCAGTGAATTTATTTTTATCAAATTTTATTATTTTCTCTATAAATCCAAAACTAAAACAATTATTCAGAGCATTGGACATACTGGGTTGACATCTCACTCTTTTTTACATTCAACAACCATATTCAATTCTATGCATAGTCCCATTTCTCTAACTAATGATAAAAAATGTTCCAAGTTTGATAGAAGTATGTATCTTCCTTCTCCTTCAAAGTCAATCTGTCCATCTCTGCACAGTCCAAGATCTTTTTAAAAATCAACTCTTCAGAAGGTGGCTCTTCACTTCTCCAATGTGGGCAAATGAAATCCTCACCGCAGTAATTATATGTAAAGTCAAATACATAGCTTGTTTATAGAAGTCACCAGGGATAATACCTAATAGAAAAACTTCAGGTTTAAATGTTAAAGTTTTTTGCAGCATTTTCTCAAGCCATTTGTTTATTTTAACCCAATATTTTTTGTCTTAACATGAGTCTACCACAAATGATAAAAAGTATCAGGTTTGTGTTTACATTTCCAACATCTATTTGACATATCTGGAAACATTTTTGCTAATCTATTTGGCGATAAATATCATCTGTAAAACATTTTTGAATCTCAGTGAATTTAATGGAAAAAGCTAGCCCTGGATGAACTTCCATTGACTTTAATAGGCATTGCACACAATTTATTTAGTCTGGAAACCACCCAAGGGATACCCATACTTCTTGTAAGCCTCTTTCCACATCTTCTTCACATACAAATGGGACTGAGGTTTTGTTTTGCTTTGCTTCTAACATTGAAATGTAAAGACTTCTTCTGTCATTTTAATAAATCTCACATCACATCAGTTTAAGAAACGTTTTAGCCTCTCCACTCCTAAATATCTGCTGCTATGGTCATTGCTGACCTTCTCAAAGGGAATCACTGTGTTCTGCATATCCAAGAGGTATTTTCCTCTTGGGCAGATCCTCAAGGGGGCCATTACCTTTCTTCCTCAAACCATAGGTGAGATGAAAGCCAGCTAAAATTGGAAGTACTTTCTCCTCTTGGCTGAGCCCTGCATCGAAAAATCTGCTTTCAGAACAAAAGGGGGCAACAGCCCGTATTCTGGAAGAAAAACCACCTCCCAGTTCAAGCTGGATAAGCAAACAGCATCAATGGAGGCAGTGCTGTGTGACTTGTATTACCTCATGCAGTATACAAACATGACTAAATTAATATTCTGCTGTGACATCTGATTAAGGAGATCACTGTCTTTTGTTTTTTGCTGTGTGTCTACATCCACCTTTTTGTCTGTTACTGTCACAACATGAATTTTGTTAAATTACACTGAACAGGAAGCACAAGTGTCCATGCTTCAAATAAATTGGGAAATCCAATTCATACATACACTTACTAAATGTGCTATTTACCACTGTATAGTATACTATGCTTTGCTTTGGCAAGAAGAATGCTAGCACGGTACAATGATAATCAGTATGCATATTTATGTTTAAATAGCCCTGTGAGATTGTGAATTCACCAACGACACTATCCATTAGATCACACAATCATCTTTAATAACACGAGAATTTACAGGTTTAAGCTAACAACAGAAGCGTTCCCTAGTTGAAACAGCAACATGTGGAAGGGCATGGTAGCAAAGAATATGTGATACACACCTTATTAAATATCAAACCTCCAATAATTTATATCTATGGTTGCAGCACCATTGTTGCATTAGACAAAACTGTTAGGTGAAAGTAAGATTTAAGTTGAAAATGAAATATAGATCTGTCTCTTAAAATATTTGCAAAATAACTATACCCACACCGTTGTGCCATCAAGTAGTCTCTGACTTATGGTGATCCTGTGAATGAGAGTCCTCGAAAATATCTATTCATGACAGCCCTGTTCAGCCCTTCTAACTTCCAGGTTATGACTTCCTTTATAGAAGGCTTGCTCCTTCCAAGCTAATATTTGACTTGATATCATTAGCCAAACTCCAAAGCTCTTATTTAGTTATGTTTAAAATTGTAGTAGGTATCAGGAACTTGTCAAACCTTCAATTATTTCGATCGGCAATTCAAATTTTATTTTAAAGACATAGCTAGTAGATAAATCTTGCTGTCATTTTTACTCCAGAACAGGAGCACAAATTCTGGTCCAGATGGGGAGTGTGTAAGAAGATCTGAAATCTTCCCATCTCACCTGCACACCCACTATACATCTAATTTAGATTGGGGAATCTACAACTGGATGTCTACTGCATGTAAAAGGGATTTATATTTTTCCACAGAAATTGCAAGTGTAAAACTTTTACCATAAGATAGAAGTGCAATTTTGGGAGGGGAGGTAAATCCTCCTACATTATTGTACCTGCCTCTACTCTCAGCTAAAAGTGAAGGAAAGATGGAGCTGCTAGCAAGGTCTTTAAAGCAATGCCTGTTTTAGCCATGATTAATTGCATTAGAGAGGTTTAGCTAATTGGCACCATGTTGATTTTATTTAGATCAAGGGATGATTACAAACTTATTCTTGCTCAGAGTCAACCAATGAAATGAATGCTCCAAGTTACTTTCGACTAATGCTGTTTGAGGAATGTGGTCTGGGGGCAGGGGTCCATCTGCCTCATGTCAAGCATTCATGTGGATATTTGGCAGAAAGCAAACCCTAGGGAGTGCATTCGATCTCAGCTTAGCCTGCTTCCTTGCCAAGCCCAAGCAGAGGGAAGAAGTCTAGTCAGCACCAGAGAGATGGAGTCTGGCCTGATCTTTTTAGCCCTACGGACAACTACCCTAACATCCATGGAAATAAAATGAAAACATAACTAAGCTTGCATTGGATTCTATCCCAGTAAAGCTGTAGGTTTCAAGTGGAGTTCTGGAGTAAACTGGAATTCTTTCAAAACTTGCAGGAATTCACTAATTGAGAAGACTATTAACTGCATATGAGATTCTCTGACAGGGACTTGTCTCACAAAGACTAATATTCTCCTGAAAGATGAGCTGCAAGAATCGATCCTGCAGCCTACCTTGCAGCTGAATATCAGACAACAATCAATACAGGAGTGTTCTCTGATGGTAGAAAACTTAGAAAACTGCTGTGATTTTAAAAATCAGTTTTTTTGTTCTCAAAAGTTACCTAAACTTTTGTCCAATTCACAGATCATTTGACAGTGGAAATACAACATTATTCGTGGAAGATCCTTCTGGCTAAAGCGAGAGACATATTTTTACAGAAGGCACGAATGATGAGAACTTGCTACTGCTTGGCATTTTTAATCTGGACTTGTATGTTTCATGAGGTTCCCACTTCACAACCACCAGAAAGGACTAGCATGCATTTGCAAACTGAAAGGATGCTGGGTCTCTCAAGGGATCATGGGAAAACATTGCGTCGGACCAAGCGGGGATGGATGTGGAATCAGTTTTTTTTACTGGAGGAGTACACTGGTCCAGACACCCAGTACGTCGGCAAGGTGAGTGCTATGATGGGATACAGGACCCATTGTGTAAATATAAAAAATGTTAGTTTTCTCATTAACAGCACTGAAGCCAGTCAGACTGAATGTAGTTTTCTGATGGGGACAAATACAATAACAGGAAGAGTTTGAAGGGCTGGGGACAATGGAGATTTCCTGAAGTTTTTTATCCCAGCTCCCAATGTTCCCATTCGCCCTGCTGCAGTCCAAAACACCTGGAAATTTACCATTTCACTCCTTGTTTTAGATTGCCCCTGCTTCTAAAGGAAGGAAAGGATACGGCCCTCTGATGTCAGGTCACGTATTTGTTGCATACCATAATTTATTTGGCCATTTTATGTATTCATTATGTTTTACGGTACCTTAATAACCTATATCATAGCCAAAGTCTCTGGTCAATCCACAGTGTAAATATATCCCTTTGTTATTTTTAATTTTACATTTTTTTAGCAAGGCATTGATAGTGTTAAATCAGTTGGATAGCTTGCTCGTAGGAAACAACATTTATCCATGGGAAAAATTCATATGAAAACCACATAAGTAGCACAGGACCAGAGTGAAGGCTCAAGTATGCCCAAAATGACATGAGGTGAGAGCTAATCTAATTTCCACTTAAGCCAGAGACAGAAATGTAGGATGCTATAATGTTGCTACACAACAAGTTTCCTAAGAGCTTGGCTTGGTTTAAATACTGTGTAACAATGCAGTCCTGTGAACTCAGCCAGTTTTGCCCATGTCACACATAAGAGGGTGAAATGACCTAGTGAGTTTGTGGCTCAAAAAGGTGTTTATTCATTTAGGAAATTGCCAGAAAACCTTACTTTTAACATAAGAGTTCATTAGTTTTAAAAGTAAGACCATTCCCAAACTAAAATGCATTTTTCCATGTTCTGCATTTCATGATTACTTCATTTTTAATATGGATTTTTGTTTGCTTGTTTGTTGTTTCACTGAAAAATTAAATCAATGCTTCATGCATTTTGACAAGAATTCTGTCATGTCACAGAGAGTTAAAATTAATCAGAAATACAACAACTTTTAAAATATCCTTTTTTGTTTTGCTTACTTGTTTTTGCAAGACAAAATATGAAGAATAAAATACTTTGTACAAGTCTGGTGATTCTGCACAAATCATACTAGAGTCATAAGGTGTTGCGAGGCTTATTTGCAGAAATGTCACTAACGGCTGCAATCATGCACAGACAATGTTCCATCTTAGAGACTACAGACAATTAAAAGAATCAGCTCTGAAGTTGGCAGGAAATCCATCAAGCTCAGGTGAACTGAATTTCCCCCATCCCAGGTGTGCAGGCAGTCTTTAGCTGGAGCTATCTTGGGAGCAGAGCCAGGAGCAGGAGAGACTGCACAATCTCTCTCCTCTGAAATCTGCTAAAGGAGCACTTATTTGCTTCTATTGTGTTCTGTTAGCATAATTATAGATAAACCAAAGATTGCACAAAACCATATGATGCCAGGGCTGCCACACTGAAGTGGAAACTAAACCTGTTGCTCCACCATTAGAATTTCTGATTGATCAGTGAAGAAGGGAGCACCTATCCTGGGATGTATCTATCAGCTTTGCTTTCTTCTTTATTCCTTAAAAAAAGACAATCATAAAATAAAAAGACAATCACACACAAAACAGAGAAATGTGTGCCTTTTGAGAAGATGTGGATGCCTGTTAAAGAAGAGGAAACTGCTGGGGGAGATGGAAAACCTTCATCCATGAGTCAATGCATAAGTATTCAGAGCAACAAAATCCCTATCAGTTACTCTTTCTTCTACATTGTTTAATCCTCAAGTTCTTTCTTTTACATTTACAGATAAGTTTGCAATGGATTGGAACATTCTATACATAAACATATACATATACATAAAATGAATTGAACATATTCTTCACTCATACTTACACTTGGAGTATTTACACTATGAGTTAATTTAAATGTCTCATTAAACACACAGCTGTTAAACATGGAAACCTGAGGGACTCATTAACACACAGCTGTTAAACATGGAAACCTGGGGGTTCTCACTGCTCCTCTGCCCAATGTAGCATCTAGAAGAATATGTCAGTGCCAAAATGCCTCACCATCAGCAGCCTTTAACAGGTGGCAATCAGGTCAAAGACTGGTTTGGTAGCAGTTGTCCATGCTTAGAATAGTGTCTAATTTGGCCTTCAGGTCTTCAGCAACTATCCTAAGATAGTAAAAGGGAAATCAGGGCAACCATTTGAGTGGAGTGCGATATGCAAAAATTTAAAAAAAAACTTGAAAAAGTGAGTGGAAAACCTATAGGAGCAAACACAGATATAATTGTTTTGGCAGAATGATCAGGCTGTCTGCTTCAAGCAGTGAGGTTTTTGGAACAAAAATGTGCTTTGGTGAAGTTTTGTCCATAGTCACCTTGAAGAGGAAAACAAGCCCTGGCAACAGGGAACTGTCACAGATATCAAGACTTCCCCTGTCTCTTTGTATATACCTAATACTTCTGATCATGTTTTTTTCTGATAATCATTTGCACATTCAGTCCATCATAAAGCTGAAAGACAAGAGCAACTTGCTCTTAGCTATGAAATGTTTTATCAACCTACCCATCCCTGGGGTTGTTAGACAACTCTAAATGTCAGATTTCCACATTTAAAAAATGTGCACAACATTTTTCTGTTAAATAGATGCATACTTTTAATATTTCCATTCCTAAAAGACAATGGCATAAGTTTTGATGGACTATAATAACAGACTAATGGAACTGATGTCTGTAAATAGCAGAATATTAAACAATAGATATTTATTTATACTTACGATTCTGAATGTTCATTTAATTCCCAGAAATCTTCACAAAACTGCTTGGGCCAATGAGTGATTAAAAAAGAGAAAGGGCAGCTTCTCTGAGACCACGCATGGAGTTATGCTAGTGGCAGTTCTAGAAGTTTAGTCTTTTTGACTTACAATTCTAGGCCCAGCTCTAGATTTGAGGAACCCATAGCAAGATGTCCTCTGATGTGACCCTTCCTAAACTGGTGAGTCCAAGCTGGCTTACCTGGTGATAGCAGCTGAAACCAGCAACACTGGTTCATATAGCAAAGGCTTTGAAATGCCATTTAATTTTCCCACAATGCTCTGGAATGATGCCAGTAGGAGGTAGTTCTAAGCCTCCTAATGAATGGACAGGGACAGGGCTGTGGTGGGACTGCACAAAAGCTGAACACTGCCTAGTGCAGGTCAGTTTCAAAATGTTAGTGGGGAAATGGGCTACTTTTATGAATGCTGTAGCTGTCAACTGTTTTATTCAACAGCCTCAGGAAGGAAGCCTCTTTGACACAGCTTCCAACATAGTAAAGTCTGAAAGGCTCATCATTGTAAAGAATAATGTTACCCAACTTCATCAGTGCAACTTGATTAGTATTGGAACCAGTCTACAGTGCTATTAAAGATGTTTTATACACAGGAGTAAGCCTTTAAAATGATGCCTCACTGCTAACAGCTATTTGATTCCTTTGACAATTTACAAATGGATGTGGAATTTTTCTCTTATAAATTAGCATTTGTGATGGATAAACACTATAGAACACTGGGTGGTAAAGTGTCTTTAAAAGCCCCAATTTTCCCAGTGAGGAAACTTGCAATCACATGACTGGCTTAGCAAGCAAAATGTAAATGAATTCTTCAAAAGGATTTTTATCAATCTTCTGGAAATTAAAATGTTGGTGCAGCTCAAGAGAAACTTTTATGTAGTGCAGCAAAACAGTTTGAAGAGTGACAGTAGCATCCTTGAGATCAGGGTGGAGGAATGCTAGCTCTCCCAGCAGCCCCTGGCAGTATGCACAATGGTCAGGAACTCTGCAATTCCAACACATCTTGAGATTGACCTGCATTTCTAAATAGTGGTGTTTCCCCAAATGGGAGGAAACCACTTATCCATGATCATCTCCTATGTACCTGGAGGAAGGCTGAAATAACCCAAACGCATGGATGAGGGCAGGGGGTTATTGTGTTGTATGGTTCTTTTCCACTAATCTGAGAACCTCACTTTTGCATTACAGCCTTTATGCATTTTCTAAAAAGCAACATGGAAGCTGTTTCCTGAAGAACAGATACTCTGCCGATATTCCTGCTTTTAAGTACAAGCAAATACTTTACTTTGATCATATCTATCCAACAAAGACCCCTTGAGAGATGCATTAGAGTTAGGGAAATCTGCTGAACTTTGACAAAGGCTGGAATCTTATTATCATCCAAACTCAGCCTTCACAATGTTGCACCATGTTGGCATTCCAGAAACAAGGGGGAAAGATACTGTTATTGTTTGAAATGTAAATTCTGGTCCTATAGAATTTGTGCAGGATACACTTTAGGATAGTCATACAGCTAGACAAAGGCAAGAATGAATGACTAAATGCCATATCTCAAAACTGAACAAAGAGATATTTCTAGTGACCTTATCTGCTCCTTGTCAAATGCACTAAGAAATTGCTAAATTAATTTGCAATGTCTATGCTGTCCTGGAGAGTTCCAAGTCCCAGGTTTTGAGCATATCATGTTGCTAGCATGATGACAAAAATTGATTTTTTTCATTTGTGATGGGGGTTGGTGAATGCCTTTGCACATCAAGGAAAAAGATCTGTGTGTAAAACTGTGATAAGACATTGGAGACAAAGGGCAGTTTCTACACAGTGGTAGCAGCAATGCTTCTGGATTGAGGCAATTGGTACGGTCCCTTCTAGTGTGCATTTGAAGCACAGCATGTGGCAATGTGTTTACACTTTAAAAGTGAATCCACGTAAGTAGCAGTACTCAAATCATTGGTTTCCAGAAGTGTCCCAATGTTTTGGAAGGCAATTGAAAGCTAAGATGGACACTTTAGCCCTGATGACATAGATAAAAGAGCAGGGTGTTTAATTTGCCCTTTAAAGGGAGTTGTTTGGGCATTTCAAATGTGACTTTCTGAAAGGAGAGGCAAAGGTCTGCTACCTTTAAATCAATGTCAGATACTATGAC